TAGGATTTTCAGCAATCAATTTTTTTGAAATCCTAGTCTGGGAAATAAGTTAGTGCAATTCAAATGGAGTACTTAAAAAATCATAAAAAATCTTCTTTGTTACTTAATTCAAGCTTATTCCACTCATAGTCCTCCTAGGATATTGGTGGCAATAAATACTGCCAGGTTGCGTTTTGCATCGTCGCCAATACTTCTGCATGAAGCGGCCAGAAAGCCTTTATCTATTCCAGGCAGCAAGCCTCAAACTGCAGCAGTTGAATCAAATGATACCCTTATTCCACGTCCGAAAGTGATTGAGTTCAATTTCATCAGACTTCTTTGAGTTGAACTGTGCAGTTCAGAAGAAAAACAATCCAGAAATGGAAGTTGTAACATTATTACATTTTGAACGCCCATGACAGTAGAGTCATTTTAGCATGTTAAAAATATTCCCGGCATAGTCACATACACGGGCAAATTTCCATATTACTCAAGGTCATTGAAATGTGCCTTGGTTGAGATGGCCTAAGCTGGGAAAAATGAAGGAAGGATGAATTCTTTTGTTTTCATGTATACAGTATTTCCAATTCATATGCTAGGAATGCAGAAAAAACACACCCCCTCCCCCCCCCGTGAGGGATTCTCATTCTGATTTACTTTGGAGGAAAATTTTCAGCAGAATTGAGAATATTACTGGGATTTTTCCCAACTTGGGCCTTGGAACAATTCATCTTTTATTTATTCTGCTCATGATCTCAAAATCTCATTAAGATATCCTGACAAGCTTATTCAAATGGAGATTCAAATGCTGCACAAGAGTTGAAAGTACAAAAAATTGCTACATACCAACTTGGCCCTATAGCAACAGGTTTTGAATACTGGTATCCTGATGATGTACAATAGTACAGTAGAGGCTACATACATGAATGAGCGAATAAACAAACTCATAATCAAACCATGAAGGACCTCTTCCTGTGAAGAATCTGCAAAATACCTACAGGGATCCTCGTCCGGAAAGTGATGCGCATCCCAGGCGATCGAATAATGTGGGAATGCAAGGATTGACAAAAGGAAAGTATTGGCAAAAATGAAAAAAAAAATTCCTGGTCCACACGTCAATGTGAATGGAAGGGGGGTGGGGGGGGGATGAGGGAAGAGATATTTTCATCTACCCTCTCAGTAGAGGCTGCTGATGATGAGAGAACAGAGGATCGGGTGGTGCATCCATCGTTGTCCGCCTGCCTGATTGTGTCCTGAGCTCTGTGATATATGGGCGAGCGTACACACGTGAAATTGATGCAGCGCCGGATGTTGCGACCAAGATGACGCGCATAGATAACACGCCGCCGGAGACCAATTATTCAGCACCGTAATAAGATTATCATGATTGGAATTCCGCGTGTTGTCATTTATCTCAGGTCCTACCCCGTTTGTTTTTCATTTTTTCCCGCGGTAACATTCTCCGTTTTCACGCATGATGCTGGTTCCTTATTCGTCTCACTCAAGCCGTGTATTTTTCACGTGCAATAGGAGGAACCAGCTCATGTTGGTTTGGAATCTCGTGTTCCTCCTCATTAGTGCTCACCTCTTGTGGTGGTGGAAATGCTTCCATTCCACCACGCTTTAGGCACAAGAACATTTTTTACAAGAGAACAAATTCAGTATACTAGGTGTCGCTCTTGTACTCGTCAAATGCCCGGGCGGCTCTGATCCGTCAGCTCGGCACAAAATCCAGTGCATAAAACTTGTACCAAACGAGATGAAAAAAGAATAAATTTTTGCTGATGGCGGTAGGTGCAAATACTCTCATGTGATTCTTTGCAATCATTCAATATCCCTGCAACTTCCAAATTTATTTTCAGTCGGAAAACGGAAGGCAGCATGGTATCGTAAAGTTCAATTCTTTTACACTTGCCCAGGATTACATCATTGACTGCTTTTACTACTTTCTCTGAACTATCTGAAATTATGGAAGGATGTTCTTCAAAGTAAAGTGATCCCGCCGTTATTTGGTGCATGCTGGATTGAGCTCGAAGGTTCCAAATCCAGCAGCACACACATAGGATAGGATCGCATACAGCATCAGCCATATAGACGAAAGGAAAGGACTCATGACACATGGAGAACTCAATTTCCTTCTCCTGGAGCATGTTTTTCTGGAAATGCTACACAAACTTATATTTAAAAGGAACGGTGAATATTGTAGACTAAACTCATTTCTTGAGAATCGCGGTTTTCAAGTAAATTACTCGCGTCACCTAGTTAGAGATGTTAACACTACGTCAACGCTTCGTAGAATCTAAAACTAGATGTCACTAAAAAAACGTCCTGCGCAAGTCTCAATCATCTAAGGAAAATCAGATGCATAAGATGGACCCAAGGTTCCCATTATTCGTCATGGTCCGTAGTCCGTGCAATTATACGATAAGTTACTGATGCAGGCTCTCAGGCAGATTGGGATTTCCGACATAGGCGATATTGTATAGCTAATGGTCTCAAAAGCAATCGACTTAGTGAAGAAATTGCATTGGAATTCATCGAAGGACAATCGTGGATTCGGCAATTTATTGACTCCATATGTCAATTTATATACAGTATTGCCTTAATCACGCCAATGAACAATTTCCTCTCATTCGAAAATTAGCTCCACGGAAATAGAATCACGCTGAGAAATTTGTACGAAGCAATCATACTGCAAGGAAACTGGGAAGGAAAAAAATGGCGAGAATTTCTAATGAATTGGAAAAAATATGGTCATCCATACGTTGAACAAAATTTAACACGTATTTTCCGACAGAAACGTTTTTCTTGAAAAATGTCTTTTTGACATTCTGAAAAAATTTTTATCTGTAAGATTGGACTTCAAGGCATAAACCAGAAGTTCATGATCTTAAAATAAGTCAAATACAGAGTTGATTTCTTCCAAACACGTACCAAGCAGAGAATTTTTTTTTAGAATGAAACTTCTCATCAATATATGATTTCTCATAAAAGATTCTCTGTAAGTTGTTCATTCATCTAAACCTCATACAGAAACAAGCTGAAGACCTTGTGCTTTAAATTAATTTGTACATATATTTTGTTACCAATGTCAGGGAATGAATGGGTGTATGCATACATGTCAGATGTCCAGTTTTATTTCATGTTGTATATTCCTGATTATTGTTATGCAGAATCTCAATTTGGTGGTTTTGTTATAATTTATCAGCTCCCACAGAATTATTAATGAAGAAGTAATAGGGTGTGAAATAGAAGTATTTTAGCAAGTGGATAAAATGTCATTGAGTGGATTTGGGTTGGGCAGGAAGGGGGTTTGGTTCTGGGAAATCTTGTTTGAACCTTGTGAATGCTGAAAAGTGGCAAATAAAGTGTTCTGTTCATTCATTCATTTATGAAACTTTGCTTTGAAAGAAATTGAAAATGTACCATTGAAATGTCAGGACTGCAAAGTTCCATATGTCGGGCACGCACTGAAATAAAAATGAGCACAGCGCGCCCCAAAAGGCTGAAGAAATGCATTTATAGACATTCAAATAATGACAAATGAATTTCAAAGCCATTCACTCGAAGCTTTTTGGAATGAACGGATCAAAGGAACAGTCGTAACGAACTTCTCGAGGACACCGAAAAACTCTTCCACCTTCCGGATATCTGTCCATCAGGGATTTCCAGGGTAACATCGCACACACGCATGCATATTTCGCTAATAAAACCACGAATTTCTTTGATTCAAACAATTTAGAATTCTGCTGATTTTCTACACGTCGAGCCCAAAAAAAAAAAAAAATGCCTGAACGCGAGGAACTACAGGGAATGTTGGAGGAGCAAAAACTACGTGAAGAATGCAAAAACGAAATTTTTCTGAGGCGATGAGGATTTGCATTCGCTCAATTAACGGATAGGCTACTCTTTCCCATCTCCTCCAGATTGTGTGACTCAATTTTTCCTTTTTTGCTAAAGAGGGGGATTTTGCACTCGACGATTTTTTTTTTTTTTTTGCAACGATAGTCACCCGCAATTTCCGGGCAGCGCGAAAGCGATGTCGCGCTGTTACATCCCGCAAATAAAACCGAAAGGAAAAAATTCAAAATTTTGGTCAACAACATTCACACACCTTCCGAGCTTTTTTTTTCTGGAAATGATTCTCTTCCTCCAAAAACGTTGAGCCTAACAATTCGCCGAAATTTGTGCAACACTCTCTCGCTCTTCCTTTCCGTCGTCTGGAAAAAATCATCCCCTCACCCTGGATCTGGTATCAAAAAGTCCCCAAAACCAACATGGAAACCAAAGAACTGAAGCTCTTCTGCTCTAACATGCCCTCAACACATCACAAAACGCGATTTGCGAAGTAAAATCTCTCATCTCAACACCTCGAAAACAAGCCTTTAAGGGGTAAACAACGGGTTTCGTTGAGTTTAACTCGAGATGCATGCTTCGACCAGATAGGTTTGATTGGGTTCCAAAAGGAACTGCTTTTTGCCTCAGAAACAAAAATCCCATTTCCATTATATACGTTTGCATCAATGTTTCTCACAAGCAACACAAATATTTTCTTTGACGCATTTTTCTGCGCTCTGTCCTTCGTGTATAAGGATGATATGTCTACATTAAATCATTCAGATATTTTTTATCAAATAATGAGGAAGAGGAATTACAGGCAGTAATTCGCTTTCTTGTGAGACTTTCTGCAAAATAAAAGTGATAATGAATACCGAATATTCCGTCAAACTCAATCCGAACACGTAACCTGATGGAGAACGTCCAAAAACTATTTGAAACAATGACAGAAGCGCCACAAATTTTTAGAAAAATTGAACAGAAATCGGATCATCGCTCATCCGATTACTTGAAAATTCAATCAGTCTTCTATCGTTCATCTTGAAAGAAAACATTTAAAGCAAGAATAAAGATCCCGAATAATTGACAGATAATAATTATCTCAAATCTTTCAATTACCTTGAACTCATGATCGAGTTTCCGAAGAAAAGGAAAAATCAAAGTTCCTTCAGGAATCCAACAAACCTTCGTATGATCCAGGATTGTTTTCATGCGCGCAAAAAATGAAAAAGCCAACAGTAGCACGCTTCGTGGAAAGACACACGCGGGGTTTTAACACACGTACAAAAAAAGCACTCTGGTTTGACGCGAATGTGATCGTTTCTATATAGAACACCCTGGGAATGTACTGACATGATGTGTGTGCATAATGCATTTTTCTGCTTGAAAAGCATTCACAGGAAAGGATTGGGAGAGCTCAAAAACAACGAGCGGAATGTTTCCAGCGGCAGCTTATTGAGCGCGAAGCGAGGAATACATGATTCGAGTCCATCATAATTCCCACAAGCACCGGGATTCGCGAAATTCTCTATACAGTGGATAATGTGGAAATAAACGTCGACGAAGAAAAGAAAAGCTGGAAAGAAATGGACTGACTGACAAAGAATGGTGACGACGAAGATGAAACTTGGACTTGAGCAACGTCCGCCGAGACGAAACAAGAAAATTCGCTCTGTTTCTCTCTTGAAACCTCCGTCAATGCATGATTTTTTAAAAGGGTTCCGTCTGATAAAGAGGTTGGTCTCTGGCTTATAATAAGGCAAGGGTATCAGGGATTGCATGTACAGTACAGTACAGCACATTACAGTACAGTACGTGTGTTTGCTGATGGGGGTCTCTCTCACATATCAGGGGTGTCGACGCGCGGAGAAAATATATAGCGACGCATATACGCTCTCGAAAATTGCTGCTTTCCCCGCATATTCAAGGAATAAGCAGGTTTCTTTTCTCTTTTTACCGAATTATTATACCAGGTTCCGCGGGGGCGAATATAAGAAACGTCTTCGGAAAGGAGTCGGATTCCTTTTCTTTCTTTTTTCTCTCTTCTCTTTTTTCTTTTTGTTGTGTGTGTGTGTTTCGTTTTTGTTTGGTTCTTTATTCTCTTCGGTCGAGGGGCAGTTTTGTTGTCGCGTCGCACCTCGTCGGGTTTCTCGGATCGGATCCCTGGCCCTTCCTTTCCCGATCACATATCACAGCCAAACGACAGCGCCTGCACTATGCGGGGGTCGGCTTTACTGCCGTCGCGGAACTCCTCCATGGTCAGCTTCTCGTCGTGGTTCTTGTCCATCTGGTCGAAGATCTTGTCCACTCGCTTCTGCGGCGTGTTGTCGTCCTCGGGACTCGTCTGCTGACCCTGCACAGCGAGTACATACGTGTATAGAATGCATCCGTGAGACAGCTAGAGAGACCCCAGGTATATACGAGTACATGCAGGCATGACTCGATCGTCAATAACCATCTGCGCCCGACACAAAATCCATTTTTCCTGAGGGGGGCCCCGCCATCATATTCTTGGGGGAAAAAAAGGGGAGGTAAAATGATAACCAACTTCTCGTCAGAGCGAGCATTACACAAAGTACCGTACAATACTGAAGTACTACAGTACAGTATATTATATACTGGACGAGTATATGCAGCAGTACTGCACATATATAGGCTATATTCCCCATTTCGTTCAGCTGGGGGCGTTCAATTACTCACGAAGTTTCTTCCGTCCTCATACATTTAAATTATTTCTGCGATCTGGTTCAGGATGCTTGGGAAGGTTTCAGGAACTTCTATAAATCGTCAGGTGGACCAGTTCTTCGATATATGAATGAGATTGTTCGGATATCGTATTCCGTAATTAGATAGGGGGGCCATTTTGAAAAATAAACTCTGAATTACAATTTTTAAATAACTTTTATAATGATGAAATCTAGGACTTTTGGCTGTTGAGTGCATCAGCAAATGAGGTCATTAAAAGCACGAAAAACTACAATGAAAAATGGCGATCATAAGAGAAATTTCAGTCTTTTTATTTCAACAGGTATCTGTATCTCCTTATATTCAAATTGTAAGAACAGAAGTATACTGATTCATCTTTCCGGCGAAGTCGGAAAATGAATTGACACAATTCTTCCGTCCTTCTCCAAAGATATAAATTATTTTTCGACGTAAAACATATGCAAGAAACTGAGTACAGTACATAGAAAGAAGTCGTTTAATGCAAACATATTTCATTGGAAATTTATATTGCAATCTTATTGTAAGTCGTCACACTCGTCATCAATTGAATGACATATTTAATTTTTGATTCTGACATCTTTCTCATTCACTGAAAAAAATAGCTTAAAAAAATTGGATAATACGAAATAGTTGAAATTTTTTCGAATATCACAGAACACTTCTCCATTATAGCCTCGTCTGTGCAATAAATGAAAAAATATTGTAGAAAAATGAAAATTGAGGAGGTTCATCTCATGAGATCCTGTGTATTTTTAAGACCATACTAAGCGCTATTGTTGACAGGCATGACAGATATACTGGAAATCTCGACCAACAGCAACAATTGAGCAGTTTAATTATAAGTAATCTGAACTTTTGAAACTCATTGACCGGGATATAAATTGCGAAGATCAATGAAAGTAACGTACCCACGATTTTTCAGGAGTTAATCGGCATGATTGTTATTTCAACCGTGATAAAGATATGAAATTCAAGATCGTACAGGAAATAATAGATGGAACCTCAATAAATACACCGTTCGTATTTCGAAATGGTAATTTTCTTCTGATTCGAGAAGGGTCTCAATTTTTAGATTGTTTGGTTTCCAACTTATATCCGAGTACTGAAATCCGAATTTTATTTAAAATTTTAAGCTTGCTTGCATAACCGAATTTCCAGGCGACTCGGATTTTTTTTTTATCCCGCGAGGCGTCAGGGAAAAGTCGAAGCTCATTTTCCACTATAAAAAAAAACTCACCACCATCTGATATATTGCGTCGACGATATTGTACATCTCTTCCCTGGTTATGAATCCGTCGTTGTCCACGTCGTATAATCGAAAAGCCCCTTTTCCGAAAATAGAACAGAAATGAACCTCTCTTTGAAAAATCCATGCACGCTATACGCCAAGGGTGATAAGTCCCTCCGTCGACCTTTTCCATTTTTTTCGAATAATGCGCATGTCACCGATACTCGACATGTGTATTTTTATATGAGGTAGAAATTCAGAAAAGAAACCGAAATATTTTTCACTTAGTAGAAAAGGAAAATCAGAACAGGACCAATATAAGTAATTCTTGAAAAGATGAACTTCGGGACACTCACAGTGCAATTTTTCATCGATGTTTCCTCTCGACGTCACGGATAAAGCTTTTATGAACTCCTCGAATTCGATCGAACCATCCTGTGAAGCAAGAAACATAATCGATTAAAAATATTGCAATATGGTTCCAGACAAATTAATGCTTTTTTCGGATATGGTGAAGGTAGCGAGAGATACTTGAAGGCAACAATGAATGAACATACAACAATCCCACTGAGTTCAGCTCTTTTTATTCTTCAATGATCCTCGGTTTCGAAAGTTTCATGCATTTTTCCCACATCTACATATTGTTTTATGGAAATGTTCAATTTCATCGATCAACCTTTTCGCACCTCGAACTGAAAAATAGGTTCGCCAGAAAATAGACGCGAAATTTCTTCTCAATTTTGCAAAAATCGTGATGCACATCGTGAACAATGAATCTACCTAACCCCTGACATCTATAAAAAGCTTTCGTAAAAAAAAAACTATTGCAATAGCCCGAAAATGAAGGATCACTCGAGTTGTAGCATTGTAGGTTTAAAAAATGCATCCCTTGATGAGTCCTGAGGAATNGGGGCCGCCATCATATTCTTGGGGGAAAAAAGGGAGGTAAAATGATAACCAACTTCTCGTCAGAGCGAGCATTACACAAAGTACCGTACAATACTGAAGTACTACAGTACAGTATATTATATACAGGACGAGTATATATGCAGCAGTACTGCACATATAGGGTATATATTCCCCACTTCGCTCAGCTGGGGGCCTTCAATTACTCACGAAGTTTCTTTCGTCCTCATACATTTAAATTATTTCTGCGATCTGGTCCAGGATGCTTGGGAAGGTTTCAGGTACTTCTATAAATCGTCAGGTGGACCAGTTCATCGATATATCAATGAGATTGTTTGGATATCGTATACCGTAATTATAGGGGTGGCATTTTGAAAAATAAACTCTGAATTAAAAGTATTTCAATGCCTTTTATAATGATGAAATCTAGGGCTTATGGCTGTTGAGTGCATCAGCGAATGAGGTCATTAAAAGCACGATCATAAGAGACATTTCAGCCTTTTTTATTTCGACAGGTATCTGTATCTCTTTATATTCACATTGTAAGTACAGAAGCATACTGATTCATCTTTTTGGTGAAGCCGGAAAATGCATTGACAGAATTCTTCCGTCCCTCTCAAAAGATATAAATTACTTTTCGACGTAAAACATATGCAAGAAACTGAGTACAGTACATAGAAAGAATTCGTCTAATGCAAACTTATTCTATTGGAAGGTTATATTGCAATCTTATTGTAAGTCGTCAAACTCGTCATCAAATTGAATGATATATTTGATACTTGATTCTGACATCTTTCTCATTCACTGAAGCTCAGCTTAAAAAAAAATTGGATAACACGAGATTGTTGAATTTTTTTGAATATCACAGAATATTTCTCCATCATAGCCTCGTCTGTGCAAAAGACTGAAAAAATATTGCAGAAAAATGCAAATTGAGGAGGCTCATTTCATGAGACCCTGCGTATTTTGAAAACCATACTAAGCGCTATTGTTGACAGGCATGACAGATATACAGGAAATCTCGACCAACAGCAACAATTAAGCAGTTTAATTATAAGTAATCTGAACTTTTGAAACTCATTGACCAGAATATAAATTGCCAAGACCAATGAAAGTAGCGTAGCCACAGTTTTTCAGGATTGAATTGGCATGATTGTTATTTCAACCGTGATAACGATATAAAATTCGAGATCGTACAGGAAATAATAGATGGAACCTCAATAAAGACACCTTTCGTATTTCGGAATGGCAATTTTCTTCTCATTCGAGAAAGGTCTCAATTTTTAGATTGCCTGGTTGCCAACTTATATCCGAGTACTGAAATCCGAATTTTATTTAAAATTTTAAGCTTGCATGCATAACCGAATTTCCAGGCGACTCGGATTTTTTTTTTATCCCGCGAGGCGTCAGGGAAAAGTCGAAGCTCATTTTCCACTATAAAAAACTCACCACCATCTGATATATTGCGTCGACGATATTGTACATCTCTTCCCTGGTTATGAATCCGTCGTTGTCCACGTCGTATAATCGAAAAGCCCCTTTTCCGAAAATAGAACAGAAATGAACCTCTCTTTGAAAAATCCATGCACGCTATACGCCAAGGGTGATAAGTCCCTTCGTCGACCTTTTCCATTTTTTTCGAATAATGCGCATGTCACCGATACTCGACATGTGTATTTTTATATGAGGTAGAAATTCAGAAAAGAAACCGAAATATTTTTCACTTAGTAGAAAAGGAAAATCAGAACAGGACCAATATAAGTAATTCTTGAAAAGATGAACTTCGGGACACTCACAGTGCAATTTTTCATCGATGTTTCCTCTCGACGTCACGGATAAAGCTTTTATGAACTCCTCGAATTCGATCGAACCATCCTGTGAAGCAAGAAACATAATCGATTAAAAATATTGCAATATGGTTCCAGACAAATTAATGCTTTTTTCGGATATGGTGAAGGTAGCGAGAGATACTTGAAGGCAACAATGAATGAACATACAACAATCCCACTGAGTTCAGCTCTTTTTATTCTTCAATGATCCTCGGTTTCGAAAGTTTCATGCATTTTTCCCACATCTACATATTGTTTTATGGAAATGTTCAATTTCATCGATCAACCTTTTCGCACCTCGAACTGAAAAATAGGTTCGCCAGAAAATAGACGCGAAATTTCTTCTCAATTTTGCAAAAATCGTGATGCACATCGTGAACAATGAATCTACCTAACCCCTGACATCTATAAAAAGCTTTCGTAAAAAAAAAACTATTGCAATAGCCCGAAAATGAAGGATCACTCGAGTTGTAGCATTGTAGGTTTAAAAAATGCATCCCTTGATGAGTCCTGAGGAATATATCTAGCATAATGTGAATCATCTCCGAGGTGGACATGAGTTCTTTTCAGAGTCCAAATATGGTTTTACATCTAAACTAACCAATATTTATTGTCTACCGATACTTTTAGTTAAAATAATATGAGCTAACATCTTTCTCAGTGATGCAGTATCCACATTTTAAGCAAAGGAAAGATATTAATCATGAGAATGGACGCAAGTATGAGCCAGCATAATATAAAACATGTCTTGGATTCTTTCGGGTTTAAAATACCCCCACCTCCACCCCCTTTTCCCTTTTGTGTAATTCCCCAAGTTTGGGAAGGAAGTGCACGTTACATTTGCGTGAATGCACGATAAACGTGAGCATAGAAAATCGAGAGGAGGGTGAAACTGAAACTGGGGCCCGGACGTGACGAGATGGATCGGCTCATCAGCAGACTCGACGACAAAGTTTCAGCAGACGAGGCACACCCATGTGGCCCCTGGTCTCCATTTTCCAGTGCCTGTTCTCTGCTAGTGTCATTTCCAGAGTGCTGCTGGTCGCCTAAACAAGAAAAAAACAAAGGGGGAAGGGGGGGGGGGGCAACTGGAAAATATCGAGGAGTCGATCCAAATTGGGATTGATAAAACCTGAGACCGCAGCACCAGCGCCTGTTTTCCGACCTCCTGAATTTTCGGGGTAAACTTATATTCTGCAATGACCCCCCCCCCCCCACTCCTGATCGAACTCGTTCGTAACCCGATTTCCGCCTTTTTTTTTCTTCACATTTTAAATTCATTACTAGGATGACGAGAGAACCCGAGGAACCCTGTGCTGTCTCCTGATTGCAGAGCGCAGCACTCCCGGGATGAAACCCTCACTCTTCCCGATGTTCGTTGCGAGGAATTTTCATTGCTTTTCTAATATCATGATAAAATTGAACGCACGTCGTTACTGCACACTCGTTCTGCATCTCGGGGTTCAGTAGGGGCGGAAATAACATCAAGTGGACATTCAATTAAATACTCGGCGAAAAGGCTTTGAGCGAGGACGAGTCTAAATGATCAAAGCGACGCGTGTGTTCCTAACTCGTTTATGCGAGTAGGGCTTCAACTTCATTGAAAGCTGCTGTCGAGGGTTCCCTATGCCTTACCGCGTTTCCTCGGGATTTTACGTCATCATCTCAGTTTAGCGGCGGATCCTTGGAAGAAAACTCGTTTCGAATAATTGGATTTTGCAAAATGTGTGCTATGAGTTCATGTAAAAACTTGGATAATGATTTCTGTCTGCGCGGTCATATTGTGTGTGGATGGTATACAGCTTTGAACGAACATCAACCGGATTTTGCTTGTTGAGTATACGACTGCAATCAATTTTTATCGATTATTACGACGACTTACTACATTGTAGTCACTCGATGGGGATTTCAGGATCTTGGAGAAATTAATTCTTCCACATGACCGAATTTTTTTAAAATTTTCAACTCAGAAAAAAGAGAGGAATGGAAGCAGATGTCAGCTAAAAGAAAAACATTGAAAATATTCTCCAATCGAGACATGGGCTTGCGATGATATTGTGATTTTTCATCGATACCAATTTGAAAGCACCTTCTGGATTCTGTTTTGAGGCATCGAAAGTAGATTTGAAAATATGAAGAAATCAGTAACGAACTTCAAGCATCAAAAGATAGCTGAAAAAAGGTTCAAAACATAATTTTGTGATCGAAAAGTGTACTTTTTTTCTACGATACAGATGCAGTGGAGTTCCCATGAACGAAATTTTTCCTTGGTCCTGGCGGTTTCTTCTTTGGGATAATCTCATAAAAACGTTGCTGTAACAAACTTTTCTTCCTCTATGATCTCTGCACAACACCTTTTCGCTTCGGTGTGTGCAAGGGCCATGGCAATTTTGCAAATTGACATAATATGGGAGAAGCTATTTTGTGCATAATTGAAGATCATTTCTAAAATATAAACGATCACTTTTTGTTTAGAGGCAATTCAGCATTGGAAGACGTCTGAAGATAAAATCAAAGATGGTTTAGTTGAATTCTTTAATTTAGGAACGTTATTAAAAAAATGATAATTCTGCTCTACTTCAGGGAACATACAGTTGATAATGAATTCATGGTCTTCTTGCGCATGTAGTTTTCATTGGTTTCATCTCATGCTTCAGTAAGATTAGTATATTTTTAGAAACATTGAGAAAGGAAAGGTCTGAAACGAAGGAATTGAAATTTCATGCTTCGAATGTTATCGATTTTGTCATTGAAAGAAATTGGATATTTGGGCAAACTCTTCAGATATGGCAGATTGTAAAGTTTTCCACCACATTTCAGTCCTAGACGCTAAAAGAACCATGGATCTCATTATAGCAATTTGTATTACTGCACATCGGTTTTCATTGTACTCTAACAAGATTCTACTGTAATAATAATCTTCTTGAACAATATTACAGAACTTCTGACGGGATTGAGCTTGATTCCTCCAGTCATCTCTTCTTTGCACCACACAAACTTTTAAAAAATGTTTGGGATTCATCAACCCTGATGAAAATCACGAATAAGTCGTTTTTCAAAAGTGACCTCTTTACTTCGATTATTCCGAGATAATTTCTGCATGACTCAGATAAGTGCAGACTGTTCTTACAGACGCTAAGATTTCCGAAAGAAAAGTTCCACAAATGTCTGCCCAATTTTCCTTTTCCGTTTCCGGACGCAATTTTTGCTGGTGACGGGTTAATGAAAATCGATCCCAGGAACGCGGTCATTGCCCAGTTTCGTCACGTGCCGCCCGCCCAACGGGTAGCCCTAGCCCAACAACCGCCCCTCGTTCTGATTGATCTTCCATCCTAATCGAATTTCCTCTCCTATATACTCTTTCATTGCCCGAAGGCCCATTCCGTCAGACTTGCTTCTGAAAACACCGTGGTAACTGCTGATAACAAGAAGCTTCAAGCAGGGGCATTCACTGCCGGCAGACAACCTGCTCGAATTGTCAGCCAAGACAATGGGAACATTCTTCTTTGGATCAAGACCCTCATTCTCATCGCCATGAATGAAGCTTCGAATTTATTGGGCGACATTTCTTATTCAAGAAGCAAAAACTATACGCCGAATGCATTTGGTGGGATTGCGCATCTTATCACCCACCAATAAATTGCACAAAACTACGTCTAAAATTGGTAAAGGATTGAGTTTTACAGAACTAAATTCATTCATCTTTTAAGAAACTAGGTTTTTGAAGTCAATCTTTGCACCAGAGGCTTGTGCACCAGTGAGATATAAAAATCTTGGGTGAAGGTTTCCCAGATTCTCATCACAAAAAAAATGTTTGCAAAAAATTATCTCAAGATGAATAAGTTTGATCATTTTTACATCAACAAAAAATCTTACAAAACATCTTCAGCTCTAATTTAAGACCCTGTGGAAATTCTGGGTTCAAAGTTGGTGCAGACATAGGCTTTGGTATTTTGAATGTTCAGAGTTATGCCATATGGTAGAGCATTTTTGTTGGGTTATTTAATTTATTTCAGAAGTAAGTTATTATGTGCAAGATTGTGTATGGTGATTGTGTTTTTTGACTGTTTCTTTGGATACCTGTGATGAGAGGAAATGAATACGCCTCATACTTGAAATGCCTCCAAAATTACCAGTATGGGTGGTCCCGCCTTGCAATTTGACCTCAAGCAATTCAACTGTCCCACAATTTGATGGTCAAATTTGCAGGAAGGCAAACTTGCAATTTGACCCTTACCCAGCAATTTGACCTGCTTTTTCCATATTTTGCTTTGGCTTATATTTTAAATTTGAGAAGGTTGTCTCGCAATTTGAAAAATTTAAAAATGTGAACCAAGTTTGGCAACGGATTAGGGTCAAATTGAAAGGTACCATCTGTAACTCTTTTCTGCTTCAGATTCACCTGAAAACTTCAATTTGCTCACTTATTCCGCAATTACAGGCAGTATCTTCACCGAAAAGCATGAAAGACCAAGTACAGAAAGAGCAGATTCAGAAAATATAAATTTTAAAATGATCAAATACCCGGGCCAAAGAGTATCAATATCAAGAGAGAGTGCTACGGAAGAGCAGGTCACAGAAATATGAATAATGTATTAATTTAAGTAACTCGACAAGAACCTGCAATGTTTTGTATATAGTTGTGAATCTTGCGATGTTATTTTTTGAAAACTTGTATCACTTGCTCACATTATTACCCATACCTCAAAGTCACTGTTGGTAAAATGATAATCGATGAGATTGAGCAGTATTGAAACAGAAAAGACGACTCACCTTGTTCTCATCGAAAACTTTGAACACGAGCGAAGCGAATTTGGTCGGATCCCCTTGCGGGAAGAACTGCTTGTAGATTTTGATGAAGCCCTTCACGAGTCCGAAAATAACCAATTATATCCATTAGAGCACCAAGAATAACCCGAAATTGGAAATTCGTTTCCCTTACCTGCTCCGTTAATTTCCCGTCAGGACAATCCTTTTTGAATCCTTTGTACCTGCGGAAATGGCACGGAAATTATCTTTTCAATCCATGTACACATCATTTTCGTTTTCAATTCAGCTCGATGGGCTTTTCTTTCTTCCTCCATGAGCTTGTCATAACTTCGGGTGTTTCAAACACACATACGATGGGCCTAACGAAAGTTCTAGGGACAGAAATTGAAACGGCATATTCATATAAAGTGAAAAAACAATTGTTGACCATAAAAAGCATTCTTTGACATACGAAAAAAATCAACCCTGTTTGACACATCTTGCAAAGGATATTTTTGCAAAATTCACTCTTGCAGTTTTCTGCTCTTCACTTGAAATATGTGCCGCCCATATTGCAAATTGTTTGGTGTACCCCAGCTTTTCCTGCAGAATTCTCGAAATTGACCCGCCAAGAATTCCTAGAATTGCCTCCAGGTCGTCCAAGGTAATCACGCCTTTTTCACGAACAGCCACCTGCACAACCGCCACATTCTCATCCCAGGTGGCGTCCGTGAAGGCAGCTGTTCATGGGAATGGCGGAATTAGTATTCAAATAATGGCAACTATGCCCTATATGGAAATAAGTCCATGTCAATTCCAAGGATTCTGAATGCAAAGCTGGGGTACACGAAAAAAGCGACATTCAAGTTGCCACCTAGGGGTGACTTTTGCACACAAAAAAATGTATGAAACATATTTCAAACTGTGCTGACTTTTATTCCTGCATCAACGATTTTTTGTTCTGAACAACACACAATTGTCTTTCGGCTGAATCATACGTCGTTTTCATTTTTATCCCAAGAACATTTGCTACCCCCCTCGTACATGCACCCGTAAACCGTAACCGACAGTACATTTCGCAGTTCATTTAACGTGTCTCTATGTTATTTGGATGCATGTATATGAAGTAGTCTCGATCGATTGCTCAGAGGAGCTTTCCAATTCCAAGTACAATAGAGAGAATTTTCCCGGGACTCACCACTGCTTGATTTCCTTCTCCGAGACTGCATTACGAGTGGCGTGGAACGGAAGACAAGAGAAATAAAAGACCCCCGGTGAGAGACTGGCACAAAGTTTAAGCCGAAAAATAAATCGCAGCGCAAGCGTGCATTCTGCGGATTTTCTCCGACGACGACGACGACGACGAAGACGACGTCGACGTCGACGAGACGCACCAGTGACATGGTAGGAAGAATGAGGGATCTGAAGCGAACCGCGAAGTCGTGACGGAAGTTCCACGAGTGTAATTCCCTTCGGGGACGGAAAGACCGTCGACGAGCCACAGCAGATCGACTGCAGCTTGTTGATGACACCGACGGGTTTGTTCCGGGACCATTCTTCACGCCGAAATCGACCCCCGCAAAAAAATAAATAAAATTCTGCGCCGAGTTCAAATGCGAGTCAATTTTCCCGGCGACTTTCTACAACCACCAAGTATTGCGACTTTATCGGGAAGAAAAAAAACGTTTTTTCCTGAGAAGCCAAATGCGAATCCACGCAGACGTCAGAAGCAGAAGCTTCTGGAGTGACGGGGAATCAACCAGCGCATGTGTGAGTCACTCAAACTCAAGAACTTTCCTGGAACACCGTACCCGTGACTGTACGGGCGTTTTATTTTTGGAGCTCCTGCGTGATTATTGCAGGTGTGTATTGATTTCAATTTCCAGCTTCCCATCACGCACGCGTGAAATCGACTTAATATTTGGTCCCCAGCATGGAGAATGAAGACATCGAAATTACCATCAACGATGAAGAACAACCCTGTCATTATGAAACACAGTCGAAACTCTCTAAAAGGTCAAATTTTCAAGGGACCAGCAAAATAAAATCTAGAGATCTTTCTATCTAACGAGTCAAGCATTTTTCTTGAGGAAAAATGAATAATAATTATTACAGGAAATTGTAATTGGTGATCTTCAGGGCCTTAAATAGTTTGTTATATGAGTTGAGTGGATAATGCTGAACTTGGATGTAAAAGATCTATTTCCCAATAAGCCTTTCACTTCCTTTCAAAAGAGATCAAGTGACTTTCTTATTGCTATTCTCTTTCCTGTGAACAAAAGAATAACCAGAAGGCCTCAGAAAAATTTGCGTTATATGGAGGTTTGAAAGGAAAGACTCCAAGTTGAAGAGGATTTCAATGCATTGTTTCTGAGGGAATTCAGACAAGTACTTGGAAAATATTTGGCTTAGTGAGGTACAGTATTGGATTCAGTGAGGATCAAGTTATCAAGGCTCAACCACACAGTAAAACCTTGATAACAAGATGTCGCTTCTTGTCTGCAGAGAGTTTTACAGTTTGAACGGGTTAGCAGTTTATTGCATGGTCTATCTTACATTATTTGATTACAATTTTTAGATTTTCTTCAAAAAAATAGCCAAAAATGTTTTCTACAAACTTCAGAATTTTTAAAAAGAGTATATTGACGTGATACATAGATTTCCATTTCAGGAAATGAATTTAACTCCACAGCGCATGTTTTCAGATTTTTAAATTCATTGTATCTATTGTTAAATTATTCAAAAGAATAAATATCGTCATCTTTCCATCCTTGAAAATGCAACATCATGGACAAAGATTATAATTTTACTCTAAATTTGGCATCGCAAGAAATATAAAAACTTTAATACTGTATCAGACATCACATATCTTTCATCATCAATTTTGGCGGTTGGAATCTGATAAAGTTTTCGCAGGGTATTTAACATTGAGGATATTAATTTGCGTAATACGAAATTGTGTTGTTTTCCAAAACTAACTCCTTGTCGGGGGGGGGGGGGAACTTAACTGGGTTCGACTGCACATTTCATTGCATATTTCGCAGCACGGGATCGACACCTGTTTTATTTTCTTGGGCAGCCCTGCTGGCCGTTTGACATTGTCGACGAGAAAACGACTTCCTTCCGACTTCAACTGATTGTCGTCGAGCGCGTAAATTGGATCTGCCCATCCAAAGAAGGACAGAAAAAACAAAGGAACCAGTGGCTTATCGCCTTTTTCTGATCCCCAAAGCGGGGAATTCGATTATCCTTCTGGGGTGTGGACTATAGAGACCGTCGTTCCCGTATTCTGCTATTATTTCGTTACTTTTACTCAATTTACGAGTAAGTCTCAACTTTACTTCTACTTTTAGAACATATTCTAAATCNGGGAATTCGATTATCCTTCTGGGGTGTGGACTATAGAGACCGTCGTTCCCGTATTCTGCTATTATTTCGTTACTTTTACTCAATTTACGAGTAAGTCTCAACTTTACTTCTACTTTTAGAACATATTCTAAATCTGTCTCAGCTTGCTATACCATGGAACTTTTTCTATAGGCAAGCAATCTCTTCCACTGCTGGCCAGGACGTTATTTGCAAATCCTATGAAAAAGTTCCAGAGCAACAGAAATAGAGCTGTAGCACTTCGTTTTTCTCCAAATTTGAATTGAACGCAAACAAAATTTTTTTATGACAGAAAATGCTTTCCAGAATGAAGCTGTGAATAAGTTCTAGAATCTAGAAGGTGGTACCAAGCAGAACAGAATAACATTCAAACCTATACATTATTAAAAAAAAAGCAGTTGCTGGTGCACCATCACGGATGACTGACACATAATCTTCAAACCAACTGTGTACCTATGAACATTTTAAATATATGAAGAATTGAAAAAGTTTAGTTTCTGATTCACAAGCGATAATAAAGGGAAATTTCCGAATCATGGAATCGCAAACTTATTAGAGAATTGCGTTCAACGAAGACACGACATGATTTACGGCATGATTACGAGCTTAAAAGTAGTGCAGCAGGAGTAACTTCTGAAAGTAGTCTTCAGGTTTTATGCATAAAATATTTGCCTGAAAATCAGGTAGGGGTTACGTGAATCACCAACTTCTCATCCGAAAGATATACAATAATTATTATTTTCAATTTTTTTAAACTCAACGGCCCCTCATCAAATCAATGCACTTATATTTGTGAAGCACAGATCATGCAAAAAATCTTAAATTTCTCATATGCTGCACACGTTGTTGCCGATGGAAAACCAAGAATCCGTTTTGGTTCTGTTTTGTGTGACTGGCATCAAATATCGCAGAAATACCATGCATAAAGTGAGTTGAGTCAGCATAGATTCGTCGTGCTAATTCCAATTTTCACAGTGAATTACTAGTTCATGATGCATCTCGTCTGACGATCAGCCAGCATGTGTTTGATTGAAAAGATGCGTGTAATCTGCCTCTCAATCATAGTTGGGATTTTGAAACCTCAGTCGAGTTATTCCCTGCAATATATGTAATACCACCCGAAACCCGTGTGAAGAGCTTGAGCACAAAATGCCTTCGACATCAGTGTCGAAACTACCGAATCCGCGTGTGTCATCTCCGACGGGAGCAAAGAGAACCCAAGACGATTTGCACGCAGATTCGGGTTAGAGTCTTATTGAGGCTTCCCCATGGCCGACATGCACATACTACTATAAGTAGGAGGCGGTGTGGGGGGGATGATGATGCGGGGAAATCCGTAAATAATGGAAGGCCCCCGAGACGTGATGAAGGGTGGATGGGTGCGACGGGTTGCAAGCCNGAGTAACTTCTGAAAGTAGTCTTCAGGTTTTATGCATAAAATATTTGCCTGAAAATCAGGTAGGGGTTACGTGAATCACCAACTTCTCATCCGAAAGATATACAATAATTATTATTTTCAATTTTTTAAAACTCAACGGCCCCTCATCAAATCAATGCACTTATATTTGTGAAGCACAGATCATGCAAAAAATCTTAAATTTCTTATATGCTGAACACGTTGTTGCCGATGGAAAACCAAGAATCCGTTTTTGTTCTGTTTTGTGTGACTCGCATCAAATATCGCAGAAATACCATGCATAAAGTGAGTTGAGTCAGCATAGATTCGTCCTGCTAATTCCAATTCTCACAGTGAATTACTAGTTCATGATGCATCTCGTCTGACGATCAGCCAGCATGTGTTTGATTGAAAAGATGCGTGTAATCTGCCTCTCAATCATAGTTGGGATAAACTTTGGAGTCAGCTCAATAAGGGACGTTATATACATTATGGTGGGCTTTGGGCACACTTCTCGAACTCGTGTTTTACGGAAGCTGTAGTCACAGCTTTGATGGCTTAGGCGCACACAGTAGAGGCACGGGAGCAAAGAGAACCCAAGACGATTTGCACGCAGATTCGGGTTAGAGTCTTATTGAGGCTTCCCCATGCGGCTGTACGTGTATGATGATATTCATCCTCCGCCACACCCCCCCTACTACTACGCCCCTTTAGGCATTTATTACCTTCCGGGGGCTCTGCACTACTTCCCACCTACCCACGCTGCCCAACGTTCGGGAGCTGCAGCAGTTTGCACACTACCATGCCTGCAGGCCCAAGTCATCCTCCCCGTCACTGCATGTACAGTACCCCCAGCACCACGGGCCCCCGTGCGGGGGTCCTCAAGTCATCCGCATGACAAAGCGTCCACGAAGCCCGATCCATCAATCGGGTACTCATCGTCTCACTCCAGCTATGGGAGGCCTTTGAGCCGGGTTTGCGGGTGTCGCAGGCATCTTATACAGGGCTCTTTGCTTGGACGACGATGACTTCTCGGAATCAAAGTCACATTCTTGCCCGCTCAGTAGGTATATACAGTACTCGTAAGTCCAGAAATTATGCGTTGGGTACCATGGTACAGTACAGTACAATACGGGTGGACTCTCTCACTCTATCTGGGGCCAGAAAAATCGTTGAGGAGGACCCAATACAAAATGGGGAGAAAAGCGCACGAAACCAAAAACAAATTGTTTGAAAGAGGACATTGTTGTAGACAAGATTATTGTACAGAGTCACCTTGTAATGCTGTTGCGGATAGAATGATGTACTGAGAAAAAATAATTGACGATATTTCCTCTACAAATTTATTTCAATTGAAAAGCAGCCGTCATTGTCCTGAAGGCTGAGTTCATATTTACTGAGCGACGAAGAATGCAGGAAATTGCAAGATCACCCTCTCCTTTCAAT